GGAAATAAAAGTTAAAAATCTTTTGATAATATCAATAGATACAGAGAAGCACTTAGTAAGATTGAATATGTTATAAAAGTTCTGCCAAATGGGCATAGACAGACCATAACTCAATATTATAAAGGCCACACACAGGAAACCCATACTCAATAGCTCTTAAGTCTTGAGAAATTGTAAGCTTTTCCTTTAAAATCACATATAAGATATGTGTTCACATTTCCCATTACTTTTCAAAATAGAATTGTTGGTTATTTTAGAGCAAATAACCAGAAAAAAAGACATAAAATGTTGAATTAGGAACAAGTTTTTTTTGTTTGTTTGTTTTGTTTTATTTTGTTTTCCTAAAAACAACTGGAACAACAACAACAACAACAAAAAAGGCAGATTATGGCTCTCCATGGTGGCGCAGTGGGTTAAAGCGCAGCACAAAGGAAGCTTAAGCCACTTCTGCATGAGTTCAATCCCTGCCTTCCCCGGAGGTGACCACATGGTGCGGCAGACCTCTCCTGACCCTCCCGCTGCTCCCCTCAGCAGTGTACTTTGTTGATCTGCCTGTTCTGCTCCCCACTCTGTCTCTGGTGAATCCTCTCACCCTCCGCATCTCTGGCCTGTACCCCAGTTCTGTATGAATAAATAAATAAATCTTAAAAAAGAAAATGGCATATTACAAAGTCAATATACAAAGATAAATTGCATCCCTATATGCAAACAAGAAAAAAACTCAAGAAAACTTCCCAAATACTATCATATCAAAAATATTAGATTCCTATTAGTAAAGTTAACAAAGGGGGCATAGGGCATGTATAAGCAAAGTGTATTGCAATGCTAAAGTAAATAGAAGACACAAAGAGATGAAAAATTATTCTCTGCTTATGGATTTAATGAGACTACTATCTCACTCCATAAATAAAAGTGTACTCAGAATGGATAAAAGACTTGAATGTAAGACCTGAAACCATAAAAAGCCCAAAGGGAAATGTAGAAAGTACATTCCAGTTTGGGTTCATGAATGTATTTTAGGACCAATTTCAACAGAAGGGGAGGAAAGCAGAACTAAGCAAATGGGATTACACCAAACCAAAAAGCTTCTGCTTGGCAAAATGAAGAATCATTAAAATGAAAAGATGTGGGTTATAGAGAAACAAAAGGAAGTGTTGGATAAAACTGAATTCAAAACATATCCCAGAATTAATTGTAAATCTTCAGAGTAGGAGGAGAAAGGGGGAGAACAAATTTTGAAGGGGATCCAATGGTCTGCGGTGGACGCTGATGCTATTCCAGTTAGATTTTGATAAAGGTGACCATTTTATTGATGTTTTTATTTTAAATGAGTTACCATGAATTTCTAATTGCCTTATTATTATAATTAAAATGTGTTTATTGATATCAAACATCTCTTTATTATGAAAAAAATTGTAGCAAAATTCCTACAATCTTTATTTGTGTTATAGTCAGATATTTTGTAACATCTTTGACATTGTGTTCAAATATTGGTATACACACATACTAATTTAATAGGGTAGTTTCTGTTTTTAACAAATTCTCATAGCAGAATTTATTACAAAATTATATAATCTTTTTTTCACTGTAATATATCTTAAATTTAGTGACAAAGTAATATTTTTTCAAGTTTACATTCAAATGAATACCTTAAACCAAATATAAAAGTCTTTTTGTTTTTGAAATTTATACTTCACGGAAATGCAAGCTCTCCTGATGGTGACCCTAAAGGGGCATTTCTATTTGTATCTGAATAGATTCATCTCCAAATTTGGACAATAGCCCATGTTCTATTACCATGCAACCCGCAACATGCTTGAGGTTGCTAATTAGGGTGCAAATTGTGGTGGTATTTCTGGTGACCTGGACATGTGTTCAATAGAAATAGAAATGAGCCCCTCAACTCATTTCAGATAGACTAGAAAACATCTGCCAGATGGTTATAGCTTTCAGTGACTATTAAACTGGATCACATGTGAACAAATGACTTAGATATATAGTGTTGGAAACCTTTTTTGAAATTTCCAACACATAAACATGAAGATTAGCCTTAATGAAAAACTACATTAATCTACCTCAAATATTGTGATCAGTCTAAAATGGACAATTCCCTCTTGCTTTTGCCAAAGTCAAAAGAAAAATAAATGCCTTTATCTACTTTCTTATAATGCTGACAAAACATCTGGGAGATTTATTGACATAAGGATATCTATTAGGACATCAAAATTAATTTCAATTCCCTGGGGTATCTTATTTTAATTAACAAATCCATGATCCTGTTCTATTAATTAGCATGCTGAAGGGATAAATTGAAGATGAATTTAATTCTAACAAAGCATTTATCTTCTAAAATAATAAAAAGAGCATTAACAATCTCAATCTAATTTGTTTTTTACTTTTAATAACAGTCTTGAAATTCCATCCAGAAGAGTTTTATAACCGTTATTCACTATTTTTAATTTAAAGCTTTATTTTGGTTGTGCATATTTTTTAAAAGCATCCTTACTAGTGGTACCATTGTTCTAACATCCTATTTTTGTAAGATTATTAACATGAGCATGTGCTTATTTACCATTTTGTCATTAAGCTTCTGCTGAGTATAAACAATACATTTACCTCATTCCCAATATTTTTCTGATGTTTCAGAAAATATTATAAGGAAAAAAGGTGGGAGACTCTGTAAATAACTCCCTATTTTTCCCAAATTCATAATTTTTCCAGTGATGTATTCTATCCCAGATTTCTATTATAAAATTACATTTTAAAGCTTACCTTTAATATACTGAATTTTGGTTTTAGGTAGCAGTATGATTAACATAATAGAATAGGGCATCAAATCTCATATTAATAGTATTACTATACTAGACCATATAAAACAATTTCAATTAATTATGACATATGTTCAGCTGCAAATAATGGCTTCAGGCTCCATAAGATTAGGGGGAGCTAGATTGTAAAAATATAAATGGTGTTGTTCTAAATCTCCTCATGTAACGTTTTCACTTACATATTTGTTTTATTTCATCCATATTTGTATTTGAAGGCTTAATATAATTGTTCTCAAATTGAGCTCTGGAAAAATGAAGTATATTCAATCAATATCAAATACAAAATTTTAAGATTTTGCATATGATTTTTTTTCATTTTCTGCTATTATAGTGTCTTGTTTCTTTTTTTTTTTTTTACTCACATGTTTATTTGCTTACATCATTCTTCTATTTTTAAGTCTTGTTCTGATAACCTATACTATAAAGGACTGGGTAATAATTATTTTAGGTTTTGTGGGCAAGAAACAAAATTGAGACTATTATGAAGGTTTTATATATGGAGGATTCCACACTTTTTTTTTTAGATTTATTTATTTATGCATACAGTACTAGGGTGCAGGCAAGAGGTGCAGGGGCAGTGAGAGAATTCATCAGAGACAGAGTGGGGAGCAGATAGGCTGACTGATGAGTACACTGCTGAGGGGAGCAATGGGTTGGTCAGTAGAGGTCTGCTGTGCCAAGTGGGTCACCTCCCGGGCAGGGATCAAACTAATGCTGAAGTGGCTTCAGCTTCTTAGTGCTGTGCTTTAAACTGCTATGCCATCAGGGAGTGCTGGAGTCCCCAAATTTTACTGATGTAATTCAAAACATTTGTGACAATATGGATGTAGTTAGAAGAGATAATGCTAAGTGAAATAATTAAAAAGAGAAAGATAAATACTGGATGATATCACTAACATGTGGGATATAAAATAAAGAGAAAGATAAGCTTAAAAATCAACCTTTTGGAATCTAATGACAGATCTCAAGCAACAGGGTAAAAAAAGAGGTGTAGGGTTAAGAACAAAGAGGGAAGGAAGCACAGTGAGCTATACTGGTAAAACTATGGGTGATTTGTTGGTGGGTGCACTTTGTGAATGTAATGATAAGAAACATTATCATGAGAACTACGTGTTTGTTATCCATCCTTGACACAAGCTATGCAACGTCTATCATCCGACAGATTCCGGGTAGATTGGGAAAAGCTCTGAAAAATCAGACTTTCCACTGCTGTTATGACCTCCCTTTTTTGTATAATCGTAATATCAAAATATTCTGAGCAACTTTCAGCTTACAATTGGATTGCCTCAGCCGCATAAAGCCTGCCTGCCCTGAACAAGCAAGCACTGCTCCAGGGTGAGAAATTCCTCTGAAGTCAAAAGTGACTTGACAGCTGGCTGATCTATAAAAAAGCAAAAGGGCTGTTTCTGCAAAGTCTCTCACTGCCCTATGGATGGAGGAAAACCCAAATCTTATCATTCTACTATCTCACCTAGCCTTCAATTCAGCTTCTAAAAGAATTACTCAAACTTCCTACTTTCTGGCCTTTAGTTGTGGAATTCATCCAGGTTGCCTGTTTTAGAGCTAGTCAAGTTTTTTACCTGCTACACTTCAAAGCAATCCACAAAAGTCTTTCTGGCTAGTCTTTCAGGATTCTACTATCTAGTCTTTAGATAAATTTACCTATGTCTCGTATTCAGAGCACATTATGCTTTCTACTATCTAGACCGTAAGGAAACTTATTAAAACCTTTTAGCAAGTTTCTTCAAAGAACTTTTCTGAAATTTGATTTGCAAGAAATTTTCCTCTTCCTGCCTCCCAGGATGTCTCAGGTAGAAAAAACCATCAAGTATTAGATAAGGTTTAAGGGACTTTATTTTTATCAATCTCCACTATAGTAATATTAGTCTTAAACTTTGTGCACCTATGTACCTGTTTTTTAACCTTGATTGATTTTGGAATGTTATAATCTCAAGTAAAGGTCAAAAGGACCCCAGACTATTCTTAGAAAAAAGGTGATTGTGAACTCAACCCCTTTCATATGCTAATGTCACCCCCCTGCCTGCTTGAAATGTATAAAATAAACCTCTGCTGAAGGCAGAGCAGGAAGATTTGCACCCAAGTTCGACTCCCTTGTCTTCCTCACTCCCACTCCCCTTTACTCCCCAATTTTTAGAATATTGCCTCGCCTACCTCGTTCCCACCTTGAGACCCTGCCTGTGTCAGCCACTCGACAGCCTGAAATTCGGGCTGGTCCCCGACACATCCTGTTTACAAAGCCAAGAACCCAGGTTGTCATAGTAGGTTGAAAACATAAGAAACCTCTAAAACTAATGGTAGCTCATTTTAAAGACTAGAAAAACAGAGAGAATGTCCAGTAATCTATAGATTCACAGATCAGAATACAAGTCAGAATATCACTTGGTCATTTCAAAGCAAGAGTTGAAGAGTTAAGGAACAGGTAAAGATAAATGTGGTTCACTCCTTATTAAAACAAAAACAAAAGAAAAGAAGCCCTGTGTTACCTAAAAAGATTTTTGATGTGTATTCATTCTCTGTAATTCATATATACTACAATTTTGAACTTCAAAAACTATCTCTGACACTATGCAAAACAAAAAGAAATCTACTGGTAAGACTGATAAATTGAATCATTGTTTCAAATGTTTTTTGGTTATTTTTTTAAGTATTATTTATTTATTTATTTATTTATTTATACAGAACTGTGATATAGGCCAGAAGTGCATTGACAGTGAGAGGATTCACCAGAGACAGAAAGGGGAGCAGACATGCTGACTGATGAAGTAAAATGCTGAGTGGAGCAGCCAGCTAGACAGGAGAGGCCTGCTGTGCCATGTGGGTTACCTCCGGGGGAGGATTGAACTCACACTGAAGCAGCTGTGGCTAGCTTGCAGTGCTGCACTTTAACCTGTGCCACCAGGGAGGGCCCTTTGGGTATGTTCTATGGACTTGCAACGTTAAAAGCTTTGGGATACTAAGACAGATCAAAAATATTCTAGAACAGGCCCTCCCTGGTGGC